ACACCTCACTTGGTGCTTCTATGGGTTTAATTACCAGCTCTATACTGAGGATTTTGCAAATCTGTCTTGCCCCAAACTCTCTGCTGATATCAGATCTCACATCTCCAACTGCCTGGCTTCCTTTAAGTCTCAACTAAAATCTCATCTTTTACAGCAAGCCTTTCCCAACCCTTCTTCATTCTGGTACCTTCCCTATGCTATTTTCTATGTATCCCATATATATGTATTTATATAAATTTGCTTGTACATGGTCTCCCCCATTAGATTGTGAACTCCTTGAGGGCAGCGACTGTTTGCCTCTTTTTGTATCCCTTGCACTTAACCAGTGTCTAGTACTTAGTAGGTGTTAAATACGTTTTTGATTGATTGAGGATCTTCACAACTTCCCCTTTCTTATATTTCCAGTTTTCTTACACTTAACTCCCTTGATACTCTAGGATCCAGCTGTACCAGTCTACTTTCTGCTCATTGCACATAATAATCCATATCTCCTCTCCGTGCCTTTGTCTTAGCTGTTTCCCATGCCTGCAGCGCTCTGCCTCCCTACCTTCACTTCTTTAAAAAACTCAAATTCCACTTTCTGTGGGAGGCTTTTTCTGGTCTCCTTTCCCCCCACCCCAAGCCTTCCTCCTCTGTGGTTTTCTTCTAGCTTTTCAGGATCCTATACCTACTTATTTACGTGTTGTCTTGCCCATTATGGAAGCTAGGTGGCGCAAAATAGGGCACTGGACCGAAGTCAGGAAGACCCATCTTCCAGACTTCAAATCTGATCATAGACACTTACTAGGTGTGTGACCCTCGGTAAATCATTTAACCCTGTTTGCCTCAATTTCCTCATCAGCAAAATGAGCTGAAGAAGGAAATGGCAAACCACTCCAATATCTCTGCCAAGAAAACTCCAAACAGGGTCATGAAGAGTCGGACACAACTGAAATGACTAAGCAACAACTAACTTCCCTACTAGAGTGTATTATATGCTCCTTTAGGTTAGGGACTGGTTCAATTTTGTCTTGGTATTCCCTGAAGGTAGCAAAATGCCTGACACAAAGTAGGTGCTTAATCAATGCTTGTTGAGTACTGCCTTAATCTCTACTTAAAATGTACTTTGCACCTAGTTTCTGAATTGAATGAATGCACATTCATCTATTCATCTGTGAATACATACGTATACACACACACACACACACACAGAGAAACCCATTTAAATAATACAAAGTAATTGGAAGAGGAGGGAACACCAGCAACTGGGGAATCCAGAAAGGCCTCTTGCAGGAGGTGGCCCTTGAGGGGAGCTCTGAAGGGGACTGCCGAAAGGAGGCCTGAGGGAGGGCAGTGAGTAATCAGCTTGGAAAGATCTGCAGGATTCAGATTGTAAAAGGCAAATGTGGGAGGTTGTATTTTATCCTAAAGGAGTCTGGAGCCCCTATGGCTTCTTGAGCAGGAGGCAATAAACATTAAGCACCTACTATGTGCCGGATACCTGGTCAGACCTGTGTTTAAGGAATATCAATTTGACAGCTTCCTGGAAAGAGGGATGAGAGGAGAGACTTGACTGAGGTTCAGAAAGGTCAGCAGGAGTTAAAATGAGTGGGTTGGACAGGATTCTGGAGGACCAATGATAAAACACGCTATCCACCTCTGGACAAAAAGGTGATGGACTCAGTATGTCAATTGAGATGTGTATTTTTTGGACATGGCTAAATGTGGAATCTGTCTTGCTTAACTATGCATATTTGTTACATGGTTGTTGTGGTTTTTCCCCCCAAGGGAGGTGGGAGGAAGGAAAATTGGTTTTTTATTCATTGAGAAAAAAGAAATTTACTTTAAAAAAAAAGCAAGGAAAGGGGTTGTCTAAAGCTCCTCCCATAACAAAAACTTGTCAAACAATGACTTTATGTATAGTCCTGTCCCTGTACTAGAAGTGATACAAAGTCTCCCTCAGGCAGCTTAGTCTACTAAGCAGATAAAGTCCAACTACTATATTACATGAGGTCTGAAAAGTAAGGTTGTTACCAGCCCTGGAGATTAGGGCTCTACAGAGATGGCACCTGAGACTGGCATTAAGGGATGTGTGGGGATCCAGTAGGCAAAGAAGGGGGGAAGAAAAGGCATTCCAGGCTCAGGGAACAGTGAGCAGAAGCAGAAGATGGAAGTTCGGATTCCAGAAAGCAGAGTCCACGTTGGCTGGAGGGAAGTGCATGGAAAAGGAAGGAAAGAGGGAAGGAAATAAGCATTTATTAAGTGCTCCGTGTGAGGCACTGGGCTAAGCCCTTTACAAATATTTCATTTGATCCTCACAACCACCTTGAAAAATAGGTGCTAGTCTTATTCCCATTTTTACAGATGGGAAAACTGAGGCAAAGAGCAGTTTAAGCGATTTGCCCAGGTTCACTGAGGCTGGAGAGGCACCAGGTTAAAAAGAACCTCCACTACTATAGGAATTTCAGTGTCTGAGGGATGGACTGTTATTCGGTAAGTGCTGTTCTTTGCTCTTGAGTGATCACAACAAGGTGATAAAGTGTTCATCTGCAGAATCCAAAACAGGGACTTGTGGGATACTACTGGATATAAAAGAGGCAACTGTTGAAGGTGGTGCCCCATTCCCAGAAAACTTAGAGAAGCACCATCCAGAAACGTTCTTGGTTAGTCAGACTGCTGGTGTTTGGGTCATTTCCCCCAAAGGCTGTCACTGGTAATCCTGTGGACTAAAGTGTAAATTGTTCCTGGGCTTTGTCATCTTTGTCGTTTTTAAAAGCCTGTCTCTGATACATTGCAGCTAACTGTACTAGTAAGGGATTTGGTCTGTCCACTACTGTCCAGTATGTCTAGTGCACAATGTTTCCTGGGATTTGGGGGAAGGGCTCTGAGACAGTAAATAGAACTGCTCCTCCAAAGCTGATCGGAACAACGCTTTCATTAGTCTCCAAAGAGGAATCCTCCCCTGATCAAAACTCAGCTTGGCATAGCTTGTCTCCAATTATGCCCCACCAACTCGTGCCATTGAGCAGTGTTTGTGTGATGGGTGGGGATGGCGTGGATCTCTAGTGGCAGTAAATAGGCAGGTTTCCAAAGAATGCGGACATTGCAAACTACCAGGGGGAGTGGACAAGCTGGTCTACAGTGAGGAACATCACTGGGTCCCCAGGGAGAGTGGACAGGCTGGTCCCCAGGGAAGGGGGAGGGGGAATTGTGGGTCGAAGTGTTACAGATTGAGAACTGGGAGAGACTTCAGAGGACATCTAGTCCCACCCCCTCATGGTGCACATAAGGATGTCACCAAGAGGAGTCGGCGGGCTGGTTCCTTCCCAATGGGGGGGGAGGGGGAGTTCCTCACTAGAGAGAGTGGACAGCTTGGTTCCCACTGTGGGGACACTCTCAGTTACTGGTGAAGTGTGAGGTTGGTCCCGAGAGAAGGAAGGCAGGGAGGAGGACCTGGAAAGGGAGCGAGTGGGCTGATGGGCGGGAGGGGCGGGGCCTAGGGTAAGACCCCCAGGCCGGCAGGGGGCGTCCCCGGGGGCCGGGGGCGGGCCGAGGAGACAGCCGGGCTGTTGCCCCAGGCGCCTCGTGGCGGAGGCTGGAGCGGCGGTGGCTGCGGCGGTGGCGGGCCCCGGACTCTCTGGCTCTGTGGCGCGCTCGCTCGCCCGGGAGCGCCAGGTGGGAACCTGCGGCGGCGGCGGTGGGGCCATGTCCAAGGCGTGGGGGCCCCGGGGGCTCCTGTCCGGCAGGAAGCAGCGCGCGGCGGCGGCGGCGCCGAGGTGAGCGGGGGGCGCGCGGGGTGTCCGTTGGCCCGGGCGGGAGGGCGGCGTCCTGCCGAGATGAGGGGCGGCCCCGCGGCGGGCCGGGGGCCGAGCCGACGCGGAGGCGGGAAAGTTTCTCCCGAGCGGGCGGAGTGAGCGGGAGGAGGAGGAGGAGCAGGCGCGGAGGAGGGAGGGAGCGCACGCGATGGAGCGGGGCGCAGCCCCCGAGGAGGGGCACCTGGGCCCCTGGCCCAGCCCGCCTCGGTCAAGCCCCCTCCCACACGGGCGGCCCCGCGTGGGCTACTCCCGGCCTGGGCCGGGGGAAGGGGGGGGTGTGCGAGCGCGTGCCTGAAGGCCGGGCTCGGGGCGCGAGTATGGGTCGCGGGAGGTGGTGGGGCTGGGGGCGGCTCGACGGCCCGAGGGGCAGGAACTTGATGGCGGCGGCGTTGTCCCTGCGCCGTGCTGCGGCCCGTCTGCTCTGGGCGGCGGAGGGATCCGAGCGAGACCCCGCGGGCAGCCCCTTCCCCACCGCTGCTGCTCCTCCTCCTCCGTGGTCCCCCTCCCCAGCAGCCCGCGCGCTGATGGGGGGTGGGGGGAGGGAGGGGCTCCTCGGGCGTCACGCGCAGCCCCCGGGTGGCTTTGGAGGGAATGGTGGGCTGGGAAGCCGGGAAGCGCGCCCCCTCGGCCGCCGGCCTCTCTGCTCTTGCATTCTTCCCTCGCGGGCGCCCAGCTCAGCCCCGCCCCCATGACTCCCCAATGGGGCCGGAGGCCACGCCCCCATTGGCCGCGGGGGCGGGGCTAAGAGACCCGCGGCGTGCTAGGCAGACTAGTCTGGGAGGGGAGGGCTGGGAGGGGGTGTCTGGGGGCCTGAGAAGGAGGAGGTGGCGGCGGCGGCGGCGGGCGCGAGGACGCGGGCGCGGGGAGGGGGGGAGCTTGGCAGAGGAGGGGAGAGAGCGAGCGCAGCCCCGGAGAGCCCAGCGCGCGTGCTCGCTGCCTCCTCGCTCGCTCACCGGGATGGGGGCGGAGGGCGGAGGCCGGGAGGGCGGAACAGCCGCGGAAAGTAGATTCAGCGGCGGCGGCGACCGAGGAGGAGGCTACCGCTGCCGTCCGGGGCGACGGCGGCTCGGGCGGCTGCTCCTCTCCTTCCGCGGCGGGCTCCTCGGGCGGCGGGAGCTCAGCTCGGAGCGGCAGGTCGGGGTCGAAGGGAGCCGGCGGCGGCAGCGGGGCCAGCTCGGCCCGGGGGAGCCCGAGCGAAGAGGAGCGACCGCGGCGGCGGGGGAGCCCCTGTGCCCGCACAGCGATGGAGCGGAAGAGGTGGGAGTGCTCAGCTCTCCCCCAGGGCTGGAAAAGGGAAGAAGTGACCAGAAAGTCGGGTCTGTCAGCCGGCAAGAGTGATGTCTATTACTATAGGTGAATGGACCATTGGAACCGGGGACGGGGGGAAAGAGCCCAGGAAGTCCGCGGGGCGGGGGCCCGGCTCGGCTCGGCTCCCTTCCCCCCACCCTGCACTGGCCCCTTGGAGCGAGGAAACTTGCATTGGGCTGCAGCAGCTCCCCCCACCCCCTTCTTCCTCAGCCTGCAGCTGCTGCCCAGGCCAGAGCCAGGGCACCGGGAGTCGCCTGCCTGCACTACTGTCCTTTAATGTAGGGCGACAGCCAACCCCTGGGACTGGCCGGGCCCCCTGGCTGCCTGCAAACCACCCCCGCCCTGTCCTCCAGGGCTGCCAGGATCCAGTCTGGCAAGAAACTTGCATGTGCTGCTAGACCTGCATGCCAGGAGAAGCCTTTTGCGAAAAAATAAGTCATTTTCATCTTCTCTTCTGCATTCCCACTCCCCTAATTTTTTTCTCCTAAGCCACCTAGCATGACTGCATGCAGGAGAAATAGGAAGCCTTCTGGGTGCAGCAGCTGGGGGTGGGGGGAGGGGGAGAGAAATACAGTCTTTATTGCAATGTCTAAATTCACAAATGATAGATTGGTGTAGGCTCCGTTGGAGCCACATGGGGTTCCCTTTTCCTAAATGCAGCTATTGGAATACAAACTTTAATAGGCTTCTAGAGCTGCAGTCCGCTTTGTTTAATGCAGCATATGCAGTGCAGGAAACTTGACTGCTTTATCGGATTGTGAAGGGTCCCTTTATTAGACATAGCCATGCAGTGTGGAACACAGAGTGCCCCCTGATCCATCCCCCAGGCCTTTGTGTGTTTGGGAGGGGTGGGGAACTGGACTAGCTCATTTTAAAGAATGCAAATGTGTTTTACTGAAGAAATTTACGATACAGTTTTGTCACTTATGTAGCTTAAATCACCCGGAACCCCGGGGAAGTATTTTCCCCTCTGATCAATTCTGTCTTGGAGCATATAGCACCTGGGGGTTTGTTTTCTTTTCATTCCTCCCCCCCTTCCCTTTTCTTCCCTCCCAAGTTCAAAGGGAGTCTTTGGCCTAGGCTTTTAGAGGGTAGGAACCAGAGGGGGAAGGCGGTCCTTCTCTCTTACCATAACAAGAATAGAACAAAGAGCTAGTTGCACATTTAGACCATGCACCTGGCATTGGCTGGCTGCATTGAATGGCCTCCAATCCATTTGTTTCAGTCTTTCCCCAAATTTTCTCACTCTTAAAAAATAGTTTGCCTCTGAGGACAGCTTTTATTCCCCCCCCCCATACTAGGTATGTGATAGTAATATTACTATAGCACTTTAGGTTTTATAAAGCACTTTTCTTCATGACAAGTACTAGTGGGTAGATCAACTGTTGTCCCTGTTTTAGAGATGAGGAAATTGAGACTCAGAGGTTGTAATTTGCCCACTGTCATACAACTAGCAAATGTGACTTGAACTCAGGTCTTCTAAGTCTGAGGTTCTTTCCACTGCAATAATAATGATAAGGAACCTCAATATATGGTGTTTTGAGATTTGCAAAGCAATTTGTTGCCCCTGCTCAGTGGAGCTTCTGGTGCAGAGAATGAAAGGACTTTTGGTGGTAAGTCAATCATTGATTGTGATTTGGTGATCATAAGTAAAATGCACTCAAATGAAATCCAAGAGTACACTAGTTTGGTAATACCGAAATTTGATCTTAAGAAAAGCTTGATTGAGGTGATTTGGTCATCTGGTTTCATGTTAATTTGGGGGATAGGGGAAGCTGTTGGTTTTGTATGTGGATATGAGCTTGAAAATCTCTTAAAAGCTGAAACTAGAGGATGAATCATTTCTACAAAATGTGTCCTTTTTCTTCCCTCTGTTATCAGTGTTTGTTTATTGACATTAAAAGAAATCCTCACCAGAATCTAACAACATGGGAAAGTGATTGCTTTAGGCATAGGCTTCTGGTTAGTTTCTGTGTGCAGCTCTCAGGCAGCAACTTATCCAGCTGTTCATGACAATGTGAGCTCCTTTATGTGGTGCTTTAAGGCTAGCAGAGCAGTACAGTGAGGTAGGGAGATTCCCCTTTTACAGAGAAGGAATACTTCCTGCTCTTTAAAGGCTGATTTTAGAGATGTTGGATTTGCAGGGAAATTAATAGTGGGTTTTTTGTTAGAGCCCATACTTGTTAAGGGTGTCAGCATTTGTTAAAATTTAAGCAGCATTAGGCATTCTCTAAAGTGCATCTAACTTTAGATGAAGCTATCTAGAGGACCAAGAAAAAATTAGTTTGCCTGATCAGTTCTTGGCTTCTTTTGCAAGGGAGATAGGACGTAGATGATTATTATTCCCTAAAAGGTAGGCTAACATCATCAAATTAAGATATCCTTTTCAGTTAGAGAAACTGAGGGAAAGTGGCCCTGGCTTGTGGTCAGTAGCAGAACCAGAACCCCATCCAAAATCATTTCTTGGAGCTTTTGTAGTGCTTAATTGTTCAATAACAGTTACTAATGAAGTATTTTTCTTAAGACCGGTTTTAGGGACTGCTTGATTTTTTTTTTTGCAGCCCGTTTTCCTTTGTATTTAGTGTTTCTTTAGTTTTTCTGTGTCCCTAAGCCCCAAGTCTTCTTCCCTTTTATCATAAAGAGCTACTGATGACCCCACTCCTTTTCTCTTGAGAAAATTTTACATTATTGCCAGTTGGTACTTAATTGTCTATGTTGAGTCACCAGTAAAAGGATACAGAACAGAGAAGTCCTGTTAGTCAAGCAGTTTGCAGTGGTTAACACTAAATCATTTCTTTTCCTTGTATTTTTTTGGGGGGGGGGGTCCTTTCTGCAGAGAATGTTTGTACACAAGATCTAACATAACAATTAGAAATTAAAACCAAAAAAGTCAGTGGAAAATAAAATGTAATTTGTGTGTGTGACTAACCTTAGTGGGTATTGGGTTTCTTTGCATCAGGATGTAAAATGTTCCATGTCTTTCTTAGAAAGACATTTCTATAGGTTGCTTATTACAAATTAACCCCTAAAGAATTGGAGGCTATATTGATGGCAAGAGTGCTGTTATGCTAGGGTGGGTTGGAAAAGCAGAAATAAAAGTGGATTTTTTAAAAAATAGGGATTAATTCAAACTTAAAAGTAGCCAGTTTTAAAGTGGACAGCATGGTATAAAGGTGGGATTCTTAAATGGGGACTTAAAAGCTTGAGTGCCAGTCTCTGTTCTGCCATTCTCTTGCTGTGTGATGACCAAGGGCATGTCATTCCCCTCCTTTGGGGGCCTAGTTTCTCTATATACAGTAAAAGGATGGTCTTAGCTGATCATTGAGCTAGCTCCCTTCTAGTTCCAGCAGTCAGTGAATAGGAAATGGCCCCCTGCTGTTGCCCAGCTTACATGTACTCAGGGGCTGTGGACTAATTTTAGTACCACTGAGGTTAGAACATAATTATAAAGGAAATCTGGAGGGTGGGGTGGGGTTTGAAGGCAGGGTAGGAACATAGAAACTATTTAAGAACTTAAGTAAAATTACTGCTCTTACCTGCCTCCTTCATATTTCTGCTCATAGTTTGAGTTGACCACAATGCAGGTCACATATTGTGTGGAAAGAACAGTGGTTGTTAGACTACTAGATTTGTAGTTGGGGTGACTGGGGTAAATTCAAATCCTATCTCTAACACTAGCAGCGTAACCTTGCACAAATCATTGACCTTTCCTAGACCTGAGGCAATTAATTCTTAAGAAGATCTGTATTTGCATGATTCTGTTCCATAAATGACCTAACATATTGTGTGAAACATAAATTGTTTTATGCAGTTAACTAAAGATCCTGTTGTTTTAACCAAGTTGGTGAAACTAGGGTTACATTGTGTTTGCAAATGTTTCTGTCTTTTAAGTGGAAATAAACCAGCTTGAGAGATGACAAGGTAGCTTTGTCTGACTGTCAGCCTTCCCGTCAGATCAAAGGTTTTTAAAGGTATTGCTGTTACTTTTTGTCTAATATTGTATTCTTGGTTTGTCATTCTTTAAACTGAGGGAGGGGGTTGATTGTTGAATTCTGAATTGCACATTATGTTTTGCTCTAAAGGTCATAGGATTTAGAGTTGGAAGGGGCATTAGAGACCTTTTTGTTTAATCCTGTCCTTTATGTATAAGGAAGCAGAGGCCCAGAGAGAAGAAAAGATTTGCCCCAAATCACACCAATCGTAAGCAGCAGAGCTAGGATTTGAACCAGACTCCTCTGATTCCACGTTGAGGGCTCCTAGATTTAGTATGAAACTTGTACTCTTTGCTGAAGCTGGATCTTTGAGGAAATGAGCAAGAGTTTCACATCAGTGTGTGGCTCCTGATGCCACGTGACCTCTTAAGACCCTTCCAACTCCAAGATCCTGTGATGTTTAGATAAGGGGGATGAGAGACACAATTGCTATAGATGGGGAAAGTTAGTTCTCCATCTGGAAAGTTTGTTGCATTGGATATCTAGTGATTTCAAAGGCGTCTTCATTCTCGGATTGGTCTGATTGAGAAAGAACACACTCTGCCTTTGCTTTGGTATTGCAAACGTTAATTATTGTGAAAACAAGGTCCTCCCCTAGGGTGCCAGAAGAGAAGTCATCTTATCTCGTGGTTCATTCCTCATCTATAACAACACTCCACAGTAACGGCGATGGATTTAATGCTGTTGTAGCACTTAGGGTGGGGAGAGGTGATGGAAGCCTACAAAATGGGAATTTCCTTTTCCTCTGTAGCCCGAGTGGAAAGAAGTTCCGAAGCAAGCCTCAGCTAGCCCGCTACCTGGGGAGCTCCGCGGACCTGAGCACTTTCGACTTCCGAACAGGGAGAATGCTCATGAGTAAGATGAGCAAGAATCGGCAGAGGATGCGCTACGACTGCTCTAACCAAGCCAAAGTAAGGACCCCTGGCCCTCTGTGGGGAGCCACAACCCCCGTTCTCTGTGGTCGCCTTCCCTGGTAATCTTTGTAGACCTGGCTCTCCGCATTCCTGCACCTAGGAGTTTTCAAGACCTTCTTGCCTTTTTAGATCCTGATCTAGGAGCAGTGGGTGAAAACTACAGGCTTCTGCTTGATAGAGACTTCTCCATGAATTCGGTGGGTTAGCCTCAGAAGGTGGGGAGCCCCTTACTTGTAGAGGTATTCAGACAGAAGCCACATGACCCTTTTTCTAGATACTGAAGATATTTGTTCAGGTATGAATGGGTTGGACTAAATGCCTTGAGAAGTCCCTATCCAACTCTGAGATTCTGGAAAGTTGTCTGAAAACATAAGCAATTTGGGATGAATATCTTCGTGCACAAGTGTTATGTAGCCTTTGAATCAGGGCTGGCAAGCATAACTAGTCATATGATTGTGGGCAAGTCACTATTTGAAGCCTCAGGGTTCTCATCTGTAAAATAGAGATAATCCAGGACCTGTCTCTCAGGTCTGTTCTGAAGATAGTGCTTTGTAAACTGTCTAATGTTGTGTGAAACCAAGCTATTCTAATACCAAAAGAGCCAAGTCAGTACTTAGTCTGGGTCTTTTTAGTTTATAACCTCATGTTTGGCACTTTATGGTTTACACAGTGTGCATTTGCACTCATTATCTCATTTATCTTCCCAACAACTACTGAGAATAGATGGTACCAATACTATTTTGCTTAATTGAATAAAGAAACTGAGACCCACAGAGCGGGAGTGGCAGGCCTGACTCCTAGTGGAAAGGGTACTGGAGTATCTCAAGTTTACTAGAAAGCAGGCCTCAGACACCTACCAGCTTTGCAACCCTGGGCAAGTCACTCACCCTCTGTCTGCCTCAGTTTTCTCATGGGTAAAATGGGGATAATAATGCCTCTCAAGGTTGTTAGGATAAAATGAGGTGGTTTTAAAGTGCTTTGCAAATGTTAAAGCACTATATAAGTGCTAGCTATTGTTATCATTATCATCATCATTGTTCTTAACAAATGCCAAAAGAACAAAAAAGAGAATTTGACCCAAAGTGGGGAAAATCTCCTTCCGTGCCTTGTTATCCTGTGCCATTTTTGCTCCATCTATTTTTGTAAAGCTGTCATAGATGATCCACTCAATACACTAGGTTCCTTCCCCTAGTGCTCTGAATATTTCATGGGTACCAGTGTATTTCTTGGTGTGCCTATGTGTGAACTCTTAACTACATAACTGACAGACCATTTCTCCAAATTTGGAGACCTACCCATAGATTCCTACTCTTTAAGAACCTAAATTTAGAGCTTGGACAGGACCATAGAGGTAACCTAATCTAACGCCCTCATTCTCAAGAGGCGGACACTGAGGCCCAGCCCAGAGCTGTTAAGTGACTGGCCCCGAATTCATACAAGTAGTAAATGGTAGAGAAAGGATTTGAGCCTAGTTCTTTGTCCGTCTATGCTACTTGCATGAAGTAACGCAGTGGGCTGCCCACATAACTCCATGTCATTGTGTCCCTTCCTTGTCTGACATTCTTCAGTCATTTTGACAAGATCTGTTCTTAAGCCATTTTATTTTTCTTGGGCAGTTGGTCAGGGCAGTCTCTTTGAATGCCTGTAGATCTCATATCCAAGAATCTCTATGATCCATGTTTTCTTTGTACTTTAATGGACTCAGTGCCTAAAAGTGTCTATTCTTTTTGCTATTTGATGAATGCCTTCCCGTAAGACCACCTGTGTTTTTAAGAAAATTATATGACATTTTATAGAATAGTAACAGATAATAGCAAATAAAATTTTTAAAACTCAGTTGCATTTGTAAGAGGACTCAGTGAAAAGACTTGTGAGTTTATATAAAGGGAAAAGTAATGAATATTGTTTTGGGAGAACTGGATTATGGGTCCTGGTCTGTCAGTTATGTAGTTAGAGTTAACAGATGGGCCCACCAAGAAATACACTGGTACCCATGAAGTATTCAGAGCACTAGGGGAAGGAATCTAGTGTATTAAGTGGATCATCTATGACAGCTTTACAAAAATAGATGGGGCAAAAATGGCACAGGATAACAAGGCATGGAAGGAGATTTTCCCCACTTTGGCTCAGATTCCCTTTTTTTGTTCTTTTGGCATTTGTTAAGAACAGTAATGATGATGATGATGATGATGATGATGATGATGATGATGAATCCTCTCACATTTACCAGCTGTGGGATCTTGGGCAAGTCACTATTGGAGACTCAGTTCTCTCAACTCTCATATAGGGCTAAATTCTCTTTAACCCTGCTTTCCTTGCAGGGTTGTTGGGAAGAGAGTGCCTCACAAGCTTCAAAGTGCTGAGTAAAGGTTGTTTCATGTAGTATCGTCCAAAATAGCTCATTTAGACAGTTGGTTCCTAGACAGTTATAACTCTTACTCATTTAGTCCCAAATGTCAATCAAGTGACTGAGAAAGTAGCCAAGTGTTTGAAAACCATACGTATCCCCAGTCTCCATCTATAGGGACAGCTTTGTTGAGAGCCATCAGACTCTCCTCCTCATCTTGCCACTTCTTTTGTCTAATTGTTTCATCAGGATAATAGCCTGTCATCCCAGGCTCAAAGTGACCACTCTCCTAAGCTGGTAGAAGGTCAAGTCATTAGCTTTCCTAAAACGTGAGACAGATTCCTTTCTTCCAGTCAGAGGTCTGTTTCATGTAGGTAGGGCCTTTTTGCTTTATCTTCCTAAATTCATCTTCATCGGAGAGAAATCTAAGGCAAATCTTGCTGTTTTGGTCGGAAGCACTAATTTAATACTTCAAGGAATCATGATTCCTTGGGCATTGGTCCTCTCACTGAAACAAATTTCATAATCTTTTCTGACCAAAAAACCTCATCACCCAGTGGCCCACGTTCTGGTGACTAGTCTGTCCAGATTTGGCGAGGTTGATTCTAGAACTGCTGACGTGCAGTCCGTCACCAGGTCGGTGCTCCAAATCTTTACGTTTTGTTAAAGCCAGAGCTAGCACTCCCTGGCACATGTATGACCTTCAGGGATCCATGGCATGTTCTCCCAGCAACCCACTGGAAGATCACTTCAGTGGGTCTGTGCCCACATCGTTGTGAGTCTGTACTCTCTTCATGGGATTGACCTCCATGACTGCTCCAAGAACCCTGCTTCTCGCCCTGGGTCATTCATTGCTTACCATGCTTTGCATAGAGCTTCCTGGAGATTCTCCTCAGTGTGTTGGAGGTCTTCTTCTGGTTCTTTTACTGCTTCTTGATGGAAAGTGGCTATCCCTCAGTTATCTGTCATTCTTGGCTCTGTGACTAACCCACCTTTTTTTTTTTTTTTTTTAGTTTTACATATCCTTAATGATTTAAGTTTATCCCACTTCCGTGCATAAGGTACCATGAGTAATAATACACTGTAGCCCATTTACACCTGCCACCTGCCTTCCCGTTGCTCTTCGGCTCACCTGTAATTCCCTTGAGATTGGGGTTGTCCATCATTTGCAACTACATAGCATGTCTGGAAGAATATTGGTGTTGTGAGGTGGGCTTTTACAACGAAAAACATTTTGGGATCATTGAAAATGTGCAGTTTCCAAATGTTATTTAACTCTTTTCTCCTATTTGCATCTAAGCCCAGCTCCTTGATCATATTCAGTGCCTGACCAGGAGACAGATGGTGATTTAAATGAACTTTCCATTCAACTATCTATCATAACACAGGCAAAGTACTTCAGAATTCTTGATCTGTTTTGTTTTTCCTGTGTGGGTAGTTAGGGTGATATCCTGAGTAACTGAATCCCATTGAGGACACCTTAGAGTGTCCCAGGACCCAGTGCAGTAAGCATAAAATGATCTACCAAAAGGACCCTTCTAGAGAACCTCTTCATCAGTAAGAAATCTGTTTGGGCTAGGTCTGGGCTAAGTGTCCTTCCTCCATGACACTGGCAGCCTCTGGCCTTACCTGATGTTGATAATCCATCAATTATTGAGCAGTGTTCTCACTAGTTACATCACCCATCAGTCAGCAAGCATTCAATAAGTGCTTACAATGTGCCAAGAACTGTGTTGTGGGCAGGGAAGACAGAGAAAAGCAAAAACACAGTCCTGGTCTCCAAGAACTCACAATCTAATGGGGGAGACAGTATGGAAATAACTATGTCTGTACAAGACAGGTAAACTCAGGGGGAGAGGGAGGGGACGGGAAAGGCCTCTTGCAGAAGGTAGGATTTGAACTGAGTCTTAAAGGAAACCAAGGAAACTTGTTATAAGGGAGAAGGGAGATCCTGCTGGGCATAGGAGAAAGCCAGGACTGAGGCATGGAAGTGGGGAGAGGAGGATTGTGGGAAGAACAGCCAGGAGGCCAATGTAGCTGGATCAGAATACATGGAAAGGAATAAGGAGCCTGGAAAGGTAGGGAGGATCCCAGTGCCAAATAATATTTGATCTTGGAAGTAATAAGGAGTTACTTGGACATGATTGAGTCAGGGATATGATATGGTCAGACCTGAGTTTTAGGAAAATGACTTTGGAGGTTGAGTTAGAGGATGATTTGGAATAGGAAGAGCCTTGAAGCAGAGAGATCAGTTGGAAGGCTATTGCATAGCTAAAGGATACTGGATGTACAGGGATGACAGGTGAATAAAGAGAAAAGGTACTTTAGAGATATGTTGTAAAGGTAAAAGTGGCCAAATTTGACAATGGGTCAATGTGTGGAGTTAGTCTGAGTGAGGAGTCAAGAATGACACTTGTTACCTGGGAGGATTGGTGATGCCCTTGGCAATAATAGGAACATTGGAAAGAAGGGACAGTTTGGGAAGAGAATGAGTTCTCTTGGAGCAATGTCCTGAAACCTAGGAACAGGGGAGAGTGTCTGGGAGCAGGGGACCACTGATATTAAAGGTGGTAGAGAAGTCAGGAAATAGGAAGATTGAGAAAACACCATTAGATCTGGCAAGTAAGGGAGCATCCCTAGCTGAGCAGTT